CAGCCATCCCTGCCTGTGTCCCTGGAAGCTGCTCCTTGTCTACGATGCTCCCAAGAATAATGAGTTTGGCAAGGGCTGGGCTGTGAGCTAGAACTGCAATGTTATCTGTCCAGCTACATAGATAATGCAGCACACTCCCCCAGGACCAGACTGGGGCACCCCCATTGTAAAGTATTTACAGATTTACAGCTCATTCTGCCTCTGGGAGGGAATAAAGAAATGCAGACAAGTCTAATTGCAGAGGATGCACATGGACGCTTGCCCACCTCCTTCCTGGAAGCAGGTGCAACGCCAAAGTGCCAAAGAGCTGCAAATGTTCTGCCTGAGCCCAGAAGCAGCCTTCCCAGAGACCAGCCTTTTTAGCTCAGCCAGCATGGCCAGATGGCTCCTGGTTCACAGCTGACTCATGCCCACCACGCTCAGTCAGGCAAAGCATGCAGACAGCTGAGGTGTGCTGGGAGAGGACTCTTGCTGTAGGAGGATGCGATCACACAGGCAATTCTTCCATGTTGCCAGATTTGAAGGATGGTCTGAGCATAAGCTGTGAATAACCTGGTGGTATAAAGGCAAGGGTGATAGATTCAAACAGGACAGCAGCTTCAGAGAAAAAGATTTGGTATCTGCCTCTATCTTCAGCAAAGTGTAGCAGATTCTCAAATTGGTTTTCAGACAGACTTGACTCTTCAGTAAACTTGATAAGGAAAACAGAAACACGAGCTCTTGCCCAGCCTCCGCTGCAGAGCACTGCATTCAGTGTAATGAATAAGGACGGAAGGGGTGAAAAGGAAGAAAGGAAAGGTGAAGTGTAACCAAAAAGCTTCTGGATTTGCCCAAAACAAAAGGGAGCTGGAGGGTGGATGAGCAAAGCAATAAATTGAAAAAAGGAGCGGATCATGAATGTGGCCATGTTATCTAATATGGTAGAACACACAGCATGCATATTTAATAGTATTGTTTAGCTTGTATTTATCACAGCTAGAGGCTGTCTAGCGCTATGGGTAGGGACAAAAGAAAGGTTATAACGAACTCTGGGGCTTCTGAGTCTCACAAGGAGAAACTAACTGTTACTAGTATGGGACTTCTATATATTTCCCATTTTCAGACCTCAAATGATACAGCAAGTCAGCTGCTAGCAGCATTTGGTGAGAGATAATCAGGTTTGCAGATTAACTGTTAGATCCTGAATTATACATGCTTATATGCAAACACAAGGAACACGCAACACGTCTAGACGACTGAGCTGTGGCTGAGACTTGAAGGATTAGTCTTACAGTAGAACAAATGGAAAACTTCTAGCTAGGAAAGCAGGAAATGTACAGACCACACAGCATTCGGACCAGGATGAAGTGTTGTCATCCTTTCAGAGCAGGTATTTAGACTCTGATTGCTGGTTTTTGTTTTTGTATTTTTTTTCTTCTGTGATTTGGCAGTCAATAGTAACAGAATTATTGGTGATTACTTTTTGCACTGCAGTAGTATCTCCAAAGTTCGGTTGGGGATCAGCATCTGTACCACTTCCAGACATGCAATATGTCTCCGTTTGCTTAGATGCCTATAAAACACTTGAAGCAGAGCTGTAGAGTTCCTCTACCGTTTTGCTGTTCAGGAAAGAAACTTAAGAAACCTAACAAACAACAGTGTATGGCTAGTTCCAAGCAGAAATGTCCTGAGCAGGTAGCAAGCTTCAAAGAAGAGCTTTACTTTAGTCCTTTGGTCTAACTTAATACTTAACATTTCTGCCCAGCCTTGTGCATCTTTCTGCAGGCTGGATCAGAGTTCATGCAGCCCATCCCCATTCACCATGAACTTCAGTGAGGATGTCACATAGGGCCGTGTTAATATTGAACAATTAATTTCTCCAGTCGGTTTCTACCCAAGAGGCCCCCCCTTTTTTGCCCATTTTCTACCAGATGGACTACAAAACTCAGCATGCTGATCTCCCTGTGCAGACTTGAACATAGCTTTATTTTCCTTCTGTTAATGAAAGTGGGAAAACAAGAACAGCTCCTGTTTCCACCAGCCTGCAGGTATGCCTTTTGCAGGAACAGGCCAGTGAAATTCTGAAGCTGAACAAAGCTCTTTTAGAGGAAAACAGTTACCTGAAGCTGCAACTTGAGTTGCTGAAAGACATACTGACATGCAACAGCTCAACCATGCCTGTTGGAGGTGTAGGTGTCAGACTGCAAAAAACAAACGAACGAACAAACCAACACAGCAACAAAAACACAACCAACAACAGGTAAACAGACAGTCCTCCAAGAGATAGTGGAAGCAAGACCCAGAGGTCTGCACATTCATCGCTTCAAGAAACCTACTAAAATCCTACATCAAAAATTTCTAGCAAGATTTTTGTCCCCTATCTCATGCTTTGCAAGTGCTCATATATTGTGAGACTCTCCTTACTTGCAAAGGCACATCTCAGATATGGCAACACAAGAAAAGGGCTGCTGTCTTCAGTTGGCAATTATTTTCAGTTTTCAAACACCACGTATATGTTGGTTAATTATAACTCTTCTGATAACTATTTCGATCTTTGCTTGCCTCTCTGCATGTCTGCCTTTCTGCTGTTCACTGCCACATTCTTCCTCCTGGTGGTGGCTGCATACAACACCTTGTTGGCTGTGTCAGCCCGGGCAGGCGTTTTGCCGGCTCTTGCAGTTACATATTTACAAAGAAGTCGCATGACCTTGATTGTAACACTAGGAGAGTATGCGTGTAGCAGGACTGCTTCCCAGTGTAAACACAGGAAGACTGCCATTTCCGAAGTGTCCTGTAAAGAGGAAAGTCAGAAAGCAGACTTCAATAGGCATATGATCGAGACAGCATTCGATAGACCTGACTTTATTTATCACTGAAAACCAGACAGTGCAGCCCACTGCAAAGCTGCGCACTGCTGTGGATCGCGTTGAGTACAGCAGAGAGCCAGCCCCAGTAATCAGATGTTGTAACGGAGACTGAAAAGGCCAGAGCAATAAAATGACACTTAGTCAATGAGCCTCAGCCTAAGTTTATTAACACTAATTAAAGGAGGACAAAAACGGCTGTCAGAAATGAAAACGTTTCGGTAGGGATTAGCGCAGGGGCTCACTGCACATTGGCCGCTCAGTCAGGAAAGCTGCGAGGAGACGCCACACCTGCGCAGTCCTAAGGTCAGCCCGTATCAGACCCATCCCTCTGGCTCCTTCGCAGCTATTCCAAGCCGTTCTAGTGACGCATTCTTTCTAACAGTACTTTCGCTAAGAGCTCTTTGCAATAACGCTCTACAGAAGGAGCAGGTCGGGCTAGGAGTGCCGCCGAGGGGCCGTGGAGAAAACGGTCCGCGACGGCGTAGGGCCGGCCCGACGAGGCCTCCTCACGGCCCTTCCCGCCTCGCCCTGCCCTCCCCTCAGCTCTGTCCCCGCCTCACAACGCCTGCAGTCCCCCGAGCGCCGCCCCGCTGCGGCCAGGAGCGGCGCTGAGGAGAAGAGCGGCAGCTCTGCCCGTTCGGCTCCGTCGCGCGGGAGGCGGGGCCAGGCCCGCTGACGACCGCAGTGCGCCGAGCCGCCGCTCCCCGCCCGGCGCCGCGCAGCGCCGTGAGTGAGGGCGCGGGGCGGGGTTGGTTGGTGCGAGGCGGGCGGTGGGGACAAAGCGGCCGCCATCTTAGGTCTGCGGGCGGACGGCGGCGGCGAAACGGGTGCGCGGGGCTGAGCGCCCCCCGACTGCCCAGATCCGTAAGGCGAAGCGTGGGGCCGGAGCGCGCGAGCAGCCACAGCCCCCCGACCGCCAGGGGAGCCATTAAGAGATCATCCCCGCACCTCTCTCCCCCTTTCCTCCATCTTCTCCCCCCCCCCCCTCCGCAGCGAGCGGCGGGATGTGATTGGCCGATTTTAACTTGTCGCGCTGCCATTGGCCTGCGGCCGGCGAAGGGGTGGGGGCGGGCGGCGCGTGACGTCAGCGCGCAGCGCAGCGCGGCCGGCGGCTATTTATAGGAGCGGAACGGCGCTGCGCAGGAGCGAGCAGGCGGGTCGGGCCTTGGAGGGCCGGCGGTTCCATCGGGCTTCATCCCCGCGGGAATAGGGAACAAGAGGTCGGAAGGTCGCGATCCGCCTTCGCCGAAGCCTCTTTTCGGCGTTCGCTGAGCTTTTGTCTCCGTCTGTGCAGCGCTCGAGCGCCCCGTCAAGCTTTTGTCTTCTCCCGGGCCCTGTCCGGAAAGGCGCGGCCGAGATGGACCCCTGTCACACCGAAGAGACCGAGGGCGAGATCCCCGGCTTGGGTAAGGCCGTGTGGCGGCGGGTGGCGGCCGAGAGCGGCGTCGCGTGAGGAGAAACCGGTGGGGGTGGGGCGGCGGGTGGGGGTGGGGCGATCCGAGGCCCTGGCGCCGTGCGGCCCCCCCTCGTGTTGGCGCCTGCGGGCGGCGGGGCGCGTATGGCGCTGAGGGCCCGGCGCGGCCGCGTGTGCCGCTTCCCCCCTTCCCGCTTCCTCCTCCCTTCTCCCCCCCGCGCCGCGTGCGTCGTGGCGGTCGTTGAGCTCCGGGTGGGGGTTGCGGGTTGAGGCGCCCGGCTGGGCGGCTTTGGAACGGGGAGGAAGGTTTGGGGGGGGGCGGGGAGAGAGCGGTGCCGCGGGCGGGCGGGTTGCTGCGCGTTTGTTGTCCTGCCGACGGCTCCCCCCCGCTCCCTGCTGGCCTTGTGGTAAGGGGGGGGAGGAGTGGGGGAAGGGGAATTCCGGTGATGGGGGAGATCGTATACGAGGCACCCTTAAATGAGAGTTTGTTCCAGGTGTAATCCTTCTGGCTGCAGTAATGCCTGACCTTAAGTAGTGTAAATCCCTTGAAAACAGCCATTTAATGAAGCACAAGTTGAAAGGAAAGGCTCAGGACGCCATAACAGTCTGATCTTAAAATGGTGAACTATGCCAATTATTGCAAAACAACCCTCCCCGGCGCCTGGTATCTATATTTACCGGTTGTCAGTTGCTGATAACCACTTAACTCCTCTGTGCTTGGAGCCAGCTACCAGCCTGTGTTATTTTAAAAATGTTTATTAAAGAGTAGAGAATATACACAAAATGAAATACATTATCAAGGCACTCTGTATTTTTCTTTAAAATACACAGTAAAGTCTATCTAAAAAAACACAGTTCAAACAAACAAAACTACTTTTCTGAGGTTTATAAGTTACACTGACAGTACATCTAGTTTAGCTAGACTGTTGAAGACCACGTGACTGTTCGGTTTAACTCTTGAGTTCCAAGCATTTCATGTATGCCTTAATTCTTAAGAAGTCAGGAAAGATTTGATCTGTGGAAACAAAAGCGTATGTTTAACATGTTTTAAAAAGAAATGGCAGAACACCAGAAGCTTCCCCCTTTTCTGAAGGAACAAAGGAGGTGTTACTGTACTCCTTCTGTATGCTGGTCTCCAGTGCTGTTTTGCCTCTACATACAACTCATCTACATATAATTCGTGATCTGAAATGCCTTTTACTATAATTAGTACTGGGTAGACTTGAGTAACTTAAATAATTCATTAGAAAGATAGGGAAGGTAGCTTTACAGTATATTGTTCCATTAAAGAAAAATGGATATGCCTTCACTAAGTAGCTCTTCCTTAGGAAAAAGGGGATTGTCTGAAAATCGAGCCAAGCTCTTCTGTGTTTTCCATAGTGGAAGATGCAAATTCATAGCAAACACCACCATGTTACGTTGAGTGAACATTATGCACCCAAGCATAGATTTAGATTTTAGATTCAAACATTCATCTTTAGCATTGATGACCAGAACAGGACAGAAAAGTAGTTCCTGGGATTTCTTTTGCTGTGGACTGGTACACAGTAGTTAGCTACAGCAGAGTGCTTTGGGGCATTTATTCCCTGATCTTGTCTTTCCCCAGAACTAGCAGACACCATTTTGTCTGGTGAACTCAGTGTTTCTTCTGATGGCTGTTGGATTTCTGTGTTGCTATTTAAAGTGTCACATCGTGCACACAGACCTGCATACATCTTTGTTTCTCAGATATGTTGTGCTGTCCGTGGACACCCTTGATATTTGAAGGAGCACAAGTAGCTCTGATCTGACTAGGAGTTTCTAAAGGCATCATGGATGGCATGAATTGCACGCTACCGCTGTGTCAACTATTTAATGAATGGTGTGGCAGTGCAGACTTGGCAGGGAGCAGTCAGTCTGACTGGCCTCCACAACTGCCCCTCTTTAAAAAATAGTCATTTCTCCCTTGAACTGCTTCAAGTAAGGGATTAAATGGTTTTGTAGAGGAAAATTAAATGCATCTTCCTCATCCGTGTGATGAAGAGGGCCAATTGTAGAAGCCCCAGATTACTACTACATAATTCTGTATTTTGAGTTTTTAAGGTAATACATTAACAGTCATAAAATTCAATAACTTCCAATTGTTACTGCAGGAGAAAACATGTAATACTTACCTCATCAATCAGGTACTCCTGTTTAATTTTATCATTTTTAAAATCTTCATTAACATCCAAAACAAGAATAGGAATCTCCTTAAGGTTCTCAAAATCAACTCTGTTAAAAGATGAACATAGCTTTACAAATTACTTTATATAAAGCTTTACTCACACAGTGTTCTAATTGCTTTCCAAGGCATCTCAGATTACCACGTACACCTGGGATGTTGATGACTTTGGTATAAAGCCCTGTCCTTAATCACTCATCTGCACTGCATCACTGTAATGTACATTTCATAGGACTGGCTCTTGGTAGGAAGAGGAAGAACATTCTTTATGCTTCTCTACCTCATTCTTTTTGCTGTGGAGCCAACTATCAGGAATCCAATTTTTATAAGAGGGAGTGAATATTTTCCTCTGAAGTACCTCTTGCCCTGTGTGTCCCCCACCACCTTTGTAGTTAGCTGCTAATCCATTTACCAAGATGAAGTTTTAAAGCTTCCTTTTGGGAATGACCTCTAACAGGTTCTAAGACTGGTGTTTAAAGTTGCTAGGAGATGAGCAAGACAGTTTCAGCTGCGGCCTGACAGCAGTGGCTGTGCAAGTAGATGTCACTTAGAAAATTCGTGATTTAAGAGAACTGTCTTATGCTTGAACAATTTCCAAAATGCAGTAAAGGGGGCTGAACAGCATTCTAACTTGTATTAAAAATACAGGAAATGTTTGCTCATGGGTTTGGAATGAGTACACAATGTAAATGTTATAATTCCACAACACTGCAATACATTCTTGTCTCCTGAACTCTTGGGTCATCCTACATGAATTCTAGACTTAGTAAAAGCAGATGTGCCTGTTCAGCTTAACGTACTTTTCTTGGAATTGTTTTGCATCTGTTAGTACACCATCTGGAAGTAGTTTTGTTTATTTCAGCTGAAAAGTCACGCTTGCCTACCAGGAATATCCTGAACTCTTCTATGATTTTTTTTTTTCTGTTGTTGCAATGGACTTAATATGCTGATGTCATTTATTACTACTGCAGTCAGTAATAAATGTTTAACCTCTTGTTTTGCATTCAGTAGACTACTTCAGGTTCTTATAGGGAAAACCTGAAGTTAGCGTTTATGTCCAGCTAATTCCTACGTGGGGAAAGCTGATAAGTATGACTCAGTAAGAGTCTGGGGGGGGAAAAAAGACGTGCAGAGATAGCTTAGTCACTGGCATGTTTCCTTTATACAAGGGACTGCCAGAAGCCTTTCTGATAATTGCTTGTTTTGAAGGCAGGGTTAATATTTAAACCTTGCTGAGACACAGTCACCCGAGTTTAAAGGTAATCAGGACTTTACCTTCGCTTACATTGGAAGTTGCTTAGTAAGGAATTAGCCACTGAGTCCAATTTAAACTGCCCTATTTCTATGTACTTCCAGTTCTAAACTTAAGGAATTGCTGGAGAAAAATCACAACTAGCATAGCTTTTCAGTTGAAGCTAATGCTTAAGTCATTCCAACCATGCCCGAGTGAAACTAGAGATGGATCTCAGGCTTTTTTCTACCTTCTGATTGATAGTAAAAACTTGCTTATAAGTTGAAATGAGAATTAGCTGGTAGTTGTCTGGTTCCTCATGGCAACAGGTTATTTAAGCAATTTTGCTCACAGTAGTGGTCCAGGGGAAACAGGTTCCTACCTCATATTTCTTTCATACAGCCACGTCTCATGTTTATAGTGGAGGTTTTCCAAGTACTCGAGGTCAATTCCTTCCTCCTCTTTTCTTCCCCTCTTCTGTAGCCTTTCCATGCATTTCTGAAAAATTGCAAGCCTGAATGTTAACAATGTATTAAAGTAGTCATTAAATCAGAACCATTAATGTGTAACGTGAAAAATTACGAAGGTTTCAAAAGCATTAGGCATCAGTGAGCATTAATTTGAATGCTTGAGTGAGTCAAAAGTCAACAGTTCTTACTGAAAGATTCTTTCCTTCCCATACGCTGTTGTTGAAGTACAGCTCCAAAATGAGCTTTGGCTGCTTAGTGACTAGGAGATAATAGCAAAAACAGCGTTTGTAGGCTTTAGAAAGGATATGTTCAATTTGGTCTCTAAAGCAAATCTGAGTTTACTGAAGGCTTCCTGTTACTTCTGGAGAAGAAAATGCTGGTTCAGTGTGTTAGGGTGTGAAGTCACTGCAGTATGTCATACATATATACTTCAGCATACCTGAGGTGTGGTCCTTAGGTAGATCATCCCATCCAGTTCTATTTCAGACTGAAACTGATTTAAAAGCCATGTGTGCCAGTCCTGATAGATAGCCCACTCTGTTTCATTGATGTTTCCAGATTCAAACAGGTTAGAAGCAAACACATACCTGCAATGAAAAACACTAGTGTCATGGTAGGAATAACGTAAGTGAACTTTGTAAGTACTTCCCATCAGAATCAGTACTGAGAACATCAATGACATAGACCTACGTCTGCAATGCTCCCTACATCATTGAACTCGTGCCTGTTGGTTAAAACTGCTTCTTACAGATTATAGTTAAAGTGTTGAAGCTGTTACTCTGAGCTCTTGTTGCATTGGATCATTACCTGTCACTGTACACAGATCTCTCAAAAAATTGCACTGGATGTTCTGCTTCATGCAGCTTGGCTGAGATGGGTTTCAGTTGTGCCCTTACTCGGCTCAAGCAGGCATAAGTCTGAAAAGTATAAGCCCATCTTGTAGGTTTATCGTACAGCATTTGAAGTAGGTTTCCTCCACTCTTCTGAGAAGTTGAAAGTTCCTAGAGGAGAAGAGAGAAGACATTCATAGGGCTTCATAGGCTTTTATTCCTTCCTTAATGTCTCTTAAGAAAAGCACAGTGGGAATGACTGAATGGTCTTGGGAGGAAACAGCATCTCTAGAAACTAAGTACAGGTGAATTTTGGCACAATTTCCTTGGTGAATGACTTCAGTTTTCCTCCCATGCCCACCTTTCCTTGGGCCCCCCGGCACAGCACACCCACCTCGCACTCATCCTCGCTGGTCTGGATGTTGCACCACTTGGCGATGGGCTCGGGGATCACCTCCCACTCATCGCTGTGCTTCTCCAGCAGCCTGACAAGTGTAGACTTTCCGGCTGCTGCAAAAGATTCGTAAAATGCAGAGTGTGAGTGTGAACTGGGCTGTTGTGGCGGATAGGATAGTGGCAGCTGTGAGGTTTCTTGAGAGACCGCAGGCTGCGTTTGTGCAGTGCTGGGCATGCAGAGATGCGTGTGCACGGCCCTGCCATAGCATCTTGGCAGCTGCTCGGAGCAGGGGCAGGCGCAGGCTCGGGTACGTTCTGAGAAAAAGGCTCTAATCTGCAGCACCGGAGCTGGGTCCTGGCGATAAGGAGGTAGCGGGGCCCTCGTGGGGCCGCCTGCGCCGCCATTTTAGGAGCAGGCAGTGCCGCTTTGTTGGCGGGCTGGCGGGGCAGAGCGGGGCTGCTGCGCCTGCGCGGTGCTGGGCCGGAGGGGGGGGGGAAGAGAAAGCCACGCGCATGCGCGATTAAATGGCCAGCTGGCGGCGGCTGAGCACTGATGTGCAGCGCCGCTTGCGGGCGGGAACTCCCGAGTACGGTAACGGGTGGAGGCTCGCGGCTGCTTCCAGGTGGATGCGGCCGCGCCGAGAGAAGCCGTATTGTTATAGCGCCCGGCGGCACCGCTGAGGTACATAACAGGGACGGAATGCATCCGTCCCGGACGGCCGGCGGCTGCGGATGGTGGAACGCAGTGCCTCTGCCTCTGGTGGTGGTGCCGCTTCCTAGCGGCGCACGGATGCAGCGGGGCTCACCCGCCGGTGCTTCACAGCACGGCTCCTCCAGCGCAGTCCGGCTGTTTGCCATTAACCCATTCCCCCTCGCCTCTGTTCCTTCACCCGCTGGGATGGGAGAAAAGGCGCTCCCACACAAGCATCCCCCCCGCCCCGCTCACCGATATTGCCCTCGATGGAGATCTTCCTGAGGCGCTTCTGGAAGCTGGAGTCCAGCTCGGCGGCGGGGCCGCGGCGGCTCCTTTTGGCGGGAGTGGACATGGCGGGAGCGGCGCTGCGGCTGCGGCCCGCTTTAAGGCTCCCGCCGAGCGCTGGGCGGGCTCTGCGCTGCCCGCCCCTCCCCTTTATTTCCCGCTCTAATTTGCATCACCCTTAGCAAGTTCCCCGTGCTGGCGGCTCCGTATCGGTGTACGTGCCCCGCTCCCCGCGCGGCTACCGGATTGGGTTCTGTGGGCGCGCGGTTGGACGCGGCACGTGCCGTGTGAGGGGCTGCTGTTGGCGCCGGTAACTCTGTTGTCTCCGACAGAGAGGTGCAGGGCGGAACTAGCTAGGGCCAGTGTGTTTGGAGGAGATGGGAGGGGTGGATATTTTCCTTTACGTTATGATAATTGTGACCCGTGTCTCTTCTTTCCCCATCTCCTACAAACACACCAGGCTTCAGTGACCGAAGCGAGCAGATTGTTTCACGTGGTGTAGCGTCAGCCTTTGAAGCTGGTAAGTGCCGGTTCCCGCACACCCCCGCTCGGTCAGAGCTCTCCACACGTCGTGTCGGAGGGGGTCGGGTGGCGGCGGTGCGGCCCGGCGGGAGGCCGAGGGGGGGGCGCGGCCCGCGGGGCATGCGCAGTGTGGAGAGCGGCGCTCAGAGGCGCGTGCGCGCAGGCCCGGCCCGCGCTCTGCGCGGGAGCGAGCGCCTTGGCTTTGTTCAGCGCAGCAGGCAGGCGACGCATGCGCACAAACCGTGGGGGAGGGGGAGAAGGGAGGCGGGAGGGGGAGCGTAGATTAGCGAGGACGCATGCGCAACTTGGCGGGAGCGGCGCGGGGAACGTCTCCGTAGGGGGTTTGTGTCCCGGGGCGGCCGAGCGTGGCGGCGCTACAGAGCATGCGCAGGCGGGGGGGGGGCCGAGAGGCTCCCCGATTGGCGGCGCGGGGCGCGTGCGCGCCGTCCCAGCCACGCCGAGGTTGCGGCGAGCGGCGCGGCCCGTTCCGGTGGCCACACGTCGGGCTCCCGCCGAGCTCCGGGCCCTGAGCCGGGAAGGAGTGCGGCAAGCGTCGGTGGGGGCTGCCGGACGTCGGGCCCGCCCGGGCGGTGCGTGGGGTCGGGGTTCTTTGTGCGGCGGAAGGCCCGGCCCAGCGGAAGCGGGAGTACCCGCCGCCATTTCCTAGCGCGCTCTCGCCACAGGCTCGCCCGCTTGCTGCCGCCTGACTGGGACTAGGCGCTCTCCGGACAGCGGATCAGGCTCGGAGCCCTAGAACCACCGCGGAGCCCCACCATGTGTGCGTGCGGGGATGGGGGCTGGGCGCGGGCAGGTGGGCGGGAGCGGCTCTGTGTGTGTGAGGCGGGCAGCGGTCCGAGGTAGAGGAGGCTTGAGGGGGAGGGCTGGGCCGGGGGTCCGCCGGGCGCTCTGAGGGGTGCGGGTGGTGGCCATGCTTTGCAGCGGCTCAAAAAGACTGCTTTGGTCTTGTGCAGCCACCACTGAGACCGAGGCGGAGCCAAACCTGACCTCCAATGTGATGCTGAACACGGAGAGCAGCGAGGGATACGTGGTGAAAGTGAGGGGGCTGCCCTGGTCCTGCTCCACGGAGGAGGTGCAGAGGTTTTTCTCTGGTAAGTGAAACAAGTCAGGCTTTAGGGGGCTGGCATTCTTTGGGGTTTCTTTAGATGCGCTGCAGCTGGTGGGTGAAGGAAGTTCAGGGTACTTCAGTAGCCAGCAATGTTCGTGAAGCAAGAGCCCCAGCCAGGATGCAGTGTAGAAAGCCATGCTTCTCAAGCAGGAACTGAACAAATGTAGCTAAGGGAGCTGCTGGAATACCTATAGCTCTTTTTGAGCCGCCAGGCTAGAGAATCTTCTATTTGAATGAAAATTCCTTACTGCGAGCTTAATTAAAGTAGTTTTTGATACTGTTGTAACTAGCCAACTATTTCAGGAATTTGATGCATTAGATCTGGTCCTGACTTTGTTCATTATGCTCCATTTGATCATTACTACTTATCTCAATCTGTGCTGACTAGAAAGTCTGTCAGCTGTGATCAAAGGCATATTTGACTTGACTTGAGGCAGCAAAACATCTTTCTAAAAAAAAAAAATTAAAGTTAATCTTTAGTCTTGAGCAGAAGAATAAGTTGATTTTAGCTAGGCCCTCAATTAAAGAAAAAAATGCCCTATTTTAACAGGAACACTGTTATCTTACACAATTTCACTTATTTGCTTCCTTTTGGAATATTTGAAGCTTTTAAAGCTACCACATTCTTCTAACAACTAAATTAATGGGGCTTCTTGTTTCTGTTTTTCAGACTGCAAAATTCTGAATGGAGCTTTGGGTATTCGTTTCATCTACACAAGGGAGGGCAGACCAAGTGGAGAAGCATTTGCTGAACTTGAATCAGAAGAGGATGTGAAATTGGCACTGAAAAAAGACCGAGAAACAATGGGACACAGATATGTTGAAGGTTTGATTTGGTCTAGTAACTGACTAGATGTATTTGTTTTTGGTGGGTTTTGGTAATCTGTTCCGTCTCTAAAGTGCATGTGGAAGGACAAATGGACTTCTGTTGTATCATAAGTTGACTAGTTTCAAGGCAAATGGCTTTAAAAAGAGCTGAGCGTTCCTCAATGCATTAATTCTAAGTGCCTTTTACAGTTTTCAAGTCAAACAACGTTGAAATGGATTGGGTTCTGAAGCATACTGGTCCCAACAGCCCTGATACGGCTAATGATGGTTTTGTACGTCTTAGAGGACTCCCATTTGGCTGTAGTAAAGAAGAAATTGTACAGTTTTTTTCAGGTATGTGGGGTAAAAGTACTAGCTGTAGCAGTAATGGTTAATGCTGAAAGGAGAAACAACAACAAACAACTGACAAAACCAGCAACCAAAAAAGAAACACCCCCCAAAACAGAAATGCACTCCTGGCTGCCCAGTAATAATACCTCCAGCAGCATGCTGATCTGCATTAAGAGCAAATAAGCAGTTGCCAATTAATTATCTGGACTCATGAGATAATTTCTTAAGTATTTATTTGCTAAATAACTCAGGTATCTTGCAGAAGCTGTCCTGATTCATAGGTGTGGTGCAGACTGTTCCAAGGAGGGATAGTAGGAAATGTTTTTCTGAAGCACAAATGAACGATTCAAGTGGAAAGATATTTCCTCTCCGCCTTAGCTAGATCATGTGCTGGTTCTGGCTTCCTCTGAAGGTAGAGGAAGGCAGTGCATTTTGCCAGTGATTTCTTAGAAAAAAATATGGATTTCCTACTGAAAAATACCCCAGGTAAAAACAAACAACGGCAAAGCCATCCAGCTGAACTGTGCTGAAGTAGAGCTTTTCCCGTGCCCGTCCCACTTCCCTTGGTGTTGAATAGCTTAGTCGTTTCTTATGGAGAGAGAATGCTTTGCTGACTCTAATTTTCACTTTCTTGCAGCTGTTGTGTATATTCTTATTTTCTTAGCGATGGGATGCTGTTGTAAATGCTAAGAATGAAATCTGTTCTCCTATTTATGATCAAAAGTGTCAGTTTTTGCAGTAGTAACTACCTGCTGTCTAACTGTAAATGCTACACGTGGCTAGACTGTGTTATTAGCAGCCTTTAGATGACTCAACCTGTTGTCTTTCTTTTAAAGTATTCAAAATACTGCTATGAGTTCTGAAAGCTTTACTGTATTCTGAATTAGCAGTTCCAAAGTGTACATTTTAACTTTGCTATGGTTAAATTATTTAATCTTCAAAGACTGTTAAATGTGCTTAGTATCTGAAGTGTGCCTCTTGTGTTCGTTAGCTAATACTTTTGAAATCATGATTTCTCTTAATTGAGCACTGAAACTTAACATTTGTGTGATTATTTTACTTGACTGACTTAAATAGTTCTGTGAAGTTGTTTACCTTGATGTGTTTGAATCTGTTACGTTGAAAGTTCATCTTAAAATCAAATACTTTCACAGAGTTGAAAAGATTTGTACAGTGTAACCTTCTTAATGCACCCTGCCTCAGATGCCTTTTCTGAGGAGTTATTTTTGATGCTCAGAACTTGTCTGTGCTCTGCAGGGTGGATTAAGAACACAGAATGGTATGTGGTGATACATTTCTTCTGTTTACGTGCTTTTTCCTCTAGTGTTCTAGAATCAACATACCATTCGTTTACAAATGCTGAACTTCTGGTGTATTTAAAGCTATAAGAAAACTCATGACTGGGCTTGTGATGTTAATATTGCCCCCTACTGGGGTTATTTGTCCTTGGGTTGAAGGGTTGGAAATCGTGCCAAATGGGATAACATTGCCGGTGGACTTCCAGGGGAGGAGTACGGGGGAGGCCTTCGTGCAGTTTGCTTCACAGGAAATAGCTGAAAAGGCTCTAAAGAAACACAAGGAAAGAATAGGGCACAGGTGGGGATGGATGGTTGGTTGGATATGTCGCTTTTCTTATGGTAACCAATTAAATCCATATTCTCTCTTCTGAAAATGTTCGTGTCCAAATAAACACAGTATTTTGGTCTCTAACTTGGTCATCAGTTAAAGGCACTGACTGACGTGCAGCGTGGCACAGGCTGTCTGCACTGACTGAAAATTGAAATTGGGCTCAGCTTGCGTGCTTTGAAAACGTGGTCATTCTGAGGAGTGCAAAACCAGTA